TGTATTAATATTACTTTACATATGAATGAAAACATGTAAATAGGTTTTTAGTCGTATTTAAAATAAAAATTGGAGTTCCATTCTGTTGTCATGGTTTCTTGCTTGAAAGAGATTAGTGCTTGATACTTTTCACACTGTATCAAATCTTGATTACAGACTTAGAATAGAATAGAATAGAACAGAAAGCATTAATTATAATTTTAACGCAATAAATCTTAAAGCTAAAAGCTTGTGGGGTCGTGTTTAAAATAAAAGAAAACCCTAATAAATATTTAATAAGAAGTAAAAATCAGTTCGTCATGTCTATGAGATTTTACGTTTGGGCTTGAAATAGAGGTTTGCTTTTAAAATCAACTTGAGGCAGTACAGTCAAAGCAATCAGCACACACAACTTTAATTAACACTGCAACTGCTCCGGTCTAAGCAAAAACAACTTTCTTTTTTTTCAGACTCGAACATACTCTTCTCTTAAGTCTACCCTGGCTATTTTTAGTTTTTGAATCGTCGTGAAGTGTGTATTAATTTTATTTGAAGTTTGTGTCACTTCAAGACACCAATGGAAGCGTGTGGATTTCGCTCTTTTTATTATATATGTAGACATTATAGGGATTTAAGCATTCAGATGTAGATATCTAACAATAAAATCACCTCCCTCCAATAAACGAGCAGGATTTTTGATCCATCTGCTTTTAGCAGTTGGGTATTAAAGTATTTTGACTTCATTTCTTGGCACTTGTACCTAAACCCTCTATGTGTTCAGTGTACGTGATTTCTCTTATCGCACAATGGCATTGAGAAAGTGGTGCAGACAAGAATAAGCGTTCTCTTAAGGCTTTGTTCTTCTTTCCCGACAAAAATTTAACTGGGATGGCACCACAAGGCTCATTGTCGAGAAAGACAGCAATTTAACAGAAGGGATGAAGGTGAAAGTGAATTGGCAGGGAAAAAGAGTCCACACTGAAATATTGGCCTTGAATGGTAAGTTTACGTCATAACTTTCTGAAACAATTTTAACACAAGTTTACACTCATTTCACTGCTCAGTTTACTTCCTGTCGACTTAACTAGGTCTAGGTCCTCAAGGATGGGTGTTTTTTTAAACTGACAATGTTTGCTTTGTTTTCAGATCAAAATGGTATCCGGTCACTTCGTTCCATGGTCATTTCACCCCCAGTCACCTCGCCCCAACAAAAGTCAGTTCGCTCCATAACCAAAGTCACTTATAACCCTGTAGAGTACAAACAGCATGGAAAAAATTTTTGTTCCACACATTCACAGTTAAAGGACTTAGAAGCGACTAAGATCCTGGCGTAGTTAAAGTGTGATTGAGTCTAAATATCTTTCTTTGATTACGCGTATTGTTTAGCATTCACCTGTTGCACTTACATGGCAACAAAGTCAAGCAAAGTGTGTTGATCGATGGATGGTCGATCAAATTTGAAAAACTTTGAAAACCATCCATGGCATTACACTCATTGTTTAATAAACTACCCTTAACAAACTGCGGTAGTGAAGCTGCATTAAAGAAGGTCAGGGTGAGATGAGATTTAAAAACTCCACTTGCCCTTTGGGCAAGCTGTAATTTCATCTTACTAGCCCCAATCTCTGAGGAGCTAGCCCAAAATTATTTTTTTTCATAACGATAATTAAATAATTTTATATGCAAAAATAATGATAATTAATTAATTAATTAACAATACAGAACTTTAGACTGTTCACAGTCCCCTATTTTTCTGTGAAATCATACATGTCAATCATTGAGTTCGACAGGGCACCATCTTGGTCTCTTGATGTTAGCGAAACTGGGGAGAGTACAAAATGCCCGTGGGTAGTGATGGTGGGGTTAATAGCATGGGGGTGAGGGGCAGAAAAAATAGGGAGACTGTAACAGGTTCCCTCTGTCTCGTGTTTGCTGCCTGAGCATAGCAGAGCATTGACAACTTGAGTGACAGAAAGTGACATTCATGAATTTGCTGCTGAGGCAAAATTGGGATCGATTTTAAGATAATTTTCTGGAGAATGTTTTCATTTTGATCGTCTCTCTGCTTCTTGTCTTGGAGGATTGGTGTTAAAATGCGAGCAAAAGGAGGCTGTTTCTCATTAACTCAATGGAAAAGATGTTTTGGCGGTTCTTCCAACTGGTATTGGCAAGAGTTTAATATATCAAAGTTTCATTTTCGCAAAGGAAATGGCTAAAAGCTCTGTTGGTTGTTCTTCAGGCAGATCTTCCTGCCTGGTAATTGTGCTGCTACATAGCAGCAACTCAAACGAGTTTGATCTTGAAGTGAAAGGTTTCTTTTTTCCCAAAGATGTCTTGGACGACATAAAAAAAATAACAAATTCCAGGTGATATATGCATGGGCAGAGCAAGCTTTGTCGAGTAATTTCCTTGAAGTTGTTTGATTACCTAACAAATACATGATTGGTGATGTTTTATAATTTGCCCTTATTACTCAAGTAAGCTTAATCTTTTCACTTTGTTGACCCAAGTTATTTCCAATCCTTATCCTTTTGTACGATTTTCTCTGATTGTTTTTATTTTTGTAAGGGGAAAAGTTAACAAGAAAGGCAAAAAGGTGTTAGAGCCATTTCGTAAAGATTTTGATGCCTTGTTGACGCTACGTTCCTTTTGTGGTGAGTACCGCTTACACTTGATGTGCATCTGTTTGCATTCCCCATTGACAAAGAAAATCACATTTTGAGCTTCACAGTATTATTGTTTGTTTAGAATTCACTTCATTCAATTTTGAATGTATTGATTACTTGTTAAGCCAAAATGACACCATGTTTAGGTACTGACTGAGCAATAATTTCAAAAAACTTTTCATTTATCTTTTTTTAAGTACCCAACAACAAATCTATGTAAGCTTAAGTATTGTTTTGTAAATAATTTTCTTTGCTTTGATTGGAATTGAATGAATGAATCAAAAGTTTATGACCATGAGTCCACAAATATAGTCACCAAAATTTCAATTTACCCACCAATATTTATTTCACAAAATATTAAAACCTTGAATATTTATAATACATTTGTGTTCATTGCATCTTCACCACCCTTTAGGTGTGCCTGTCTTGGCAATAACAGGTACTGTAACAAGACAGATGCGATCAAACATTGTCAAGCAACTACCTATGGGTGAAAATACCATAACCATTAACATAAGTCCGAATAGGGACAACATCAGATTCACCTTTTTTAAAATGTCAAATACCGGTCAACTTGAATACCTGGGATGGCTGATTGAAATGGTCAAAGAACAGAACATTCTTACCCCAAAGACTATCATTTTCTGTGCAACAACGCATGATGTTGCCAAAGTGTTTGGATTACTATTAGCTGTGCTTGGAGATGGGGCATATTCAACTGGGAAGCCACAAACACCTAAGAACAGGTTGGTGGGAGTCTATCATTCTTTGACACTACCTAAGTACAAATCCAGGGTCTCCCTGTCGTTTAAAGAAAATGTGGGTCTAGTTCGAATTGTCATTGCAACATCGGCATTAAGCATGGGAGTAAATTTCCCTCACAAATGATATGTTGTGCATATCGGACCCTCCAGAAGTGTAGTTGATCACACTCAGGAAGCTGGTCATTGTGGAAGGGACAGTAGTCAAGCCCATAATGTTGTCTTGTACCATGGCAACCAGCTTACCCACTGCGATAAGGCTATCAAGGGATTTGTGCATTCCAGTGCCTACGTCAGAAAAGCCCTTTTAAGAGTTCGTCAAAGTGGAATCATCATTACCTCTCCATAACTGCTGTAGCAACTGTGCAAAAGGTTGTCTTTGTTCTGGTGATGAGTGCAGTCTGGAGTCATTTCAATTTGAAGAACCAAAAGCAAACTCTCAGGAACCAGATGTTGACTGTCAACACCCAGTCAGTGAGGAAGATAGAGAAACACTGTATGAAGCTCTTTGCAAGATAAGGACCAAATTGGCCACAAAATCACTGTTTATTTTTGATTCAAGAAGTGGGCATGGGTTTACAAATGATCTTGTGAATGATTTGGTTGGAAGTGCAGCAACAATTATCTCCTTGTCAGACATTCTCAAGAAGTTCCCAGTTTTCAATCTTGGCCATGGAAAGCTTGTTTCAAAAATCTTTCATGAAATATTTGAAGACACTGGAGCCTTCGATGAAATGATGGCTGCAGTTGAGCCGGATGACCTGTTCAACATTCCATTTTATGAGGACGTTGATGACAACACTTCATCTGGGTCAGACTCAGATCCAGATAGGATCAACACAGAAGAACTTGGAGCAGAGAAGTTCAACCAGTACACTTATGGTCAAAAAGTGTTTGTCGAGAGCAATCACAAACCACTAGAGGTAATCTACCAGAAACCTCTCGTGGTTGCTCCCAAGCATCTCCAAAGAATGCTGCTTCGTCTACAGAAATATGACCTTGAGATCTATTTTAAGCCAAGCAAGCATATGTACTTGGCTGACACGCTTTCAAGAGCACGTCTCAGCAGGAACGATGAAATTCTGTCCATTGAAAAGGAAATCAAGCAAATACGGATGGTCGACTTCCTACCGATCCGTAGCGCTAGTCTGGAGGACATCCGCCGAGAAAGTCTGAAAGACAGCTCAATTCAAGCTCTCCAGAGAGTGATCAAGAGTGGATGGCCTGAACCAAAAACGATCTTCCTGCCGAAGTAATGCCATACTTTGATGTGCGTGACCAGCTCTCAGTTGAAGACGGAATCATATTCAAGGGAGATCAATGTTTAATTCCAGTGTCTCTCAGGCCTGAAGTTCTTGCCAGAATCCACCGATCGCACATTGGCCTAGAAGGATGTTTGAGACGTGCCAGAGAGTGTCTACTGGCCAGGAATGACAGCTGCCCTGAAGAATTATGTCAATTGGTGTGACGTCTGCAGAACCTTCGAAATGTCACAGCAGACGGAAAAGCTCCACCCGCACGACATACCGGACAAGCCTTGGTCCAAGGTAGCTGTTGACCTATTTGAATTCAGCAACCATCACTACCTTGGATTACTACAGCAACTTCTGGGAAGTTGATTGAATGGAATCCAGCACAACATCAAAAGTTGTTACCTCCAAGCTGGAACAGCATTTTGCAAGACATGGCATCCCCAACAAAGTGGTCTCGAATAATGGTCCCCAGTTCAACTCGGACGAATTCCGAAGATTTGCACATGAGCGGGAGTTCGATCATGTCACCTCAAGTCCCGGACATACGCAGTCCAATGGCCTGGCCAAAAGTGCTGTCAAGACGGTCAAAAGGCTAATTAGGAAGGCACGTGACGACAGAAAAGATCCCTGGCTCGCACTTCTCGATCACAGGAACACGCCCACCGAAGGCATGAGAAGCAGTCTGGTTCAGCGACTGATGAGCCGTCGGACCAGAACACTACTCCCAACAAGAGAAACCCTTCTCAAACCAAAGCTGGCTGGAAGTGTCCAGGAAGAGAGGAACAAAATCAAGATGAAACAAGCATTCTATTACAATCGAAATGCTAAAGATCTACTACCCTTAGCGAAAGGTGACACAGTGCGACTACAGCCTTTAAAGAACAGGAAAGAACCATGGAAGAAAGCTACAGTCCAGGAAGAAGTCAATGTTAGGTCATACAATGTCCTTACAGAAGATGGTTCCATCTTACGACGTAACAGACAACATCTTAAGGCAACTAAAGAACAGCCAATGCAGCTGCAAACAGATCAAATGCCACAGGACAACAATACACAGGCAGCCCAAGAAACCGCAACTTCACCATTCAATTCGTCGCAGACAGCGCCCTCTCCAGAGACACCAGTAAAGCTTCCAGCAGCCGATTCAGCGCTAACAAAGCAGCCGGTGGGAGTAAAGCAAGCTCGTTCTGGTCGAGTTGTCAGTACCCCTTTGTACTTGAAAGACTATGTTTGCTATAGCAAAGGGACAAACAAAACAGGAGATGACTTAAGTAGAACTCAATTTGATTTATTTGATTCTTTGATTTTTTTAGAAAAGGGATGTAATGATAGATCGTATCACTAGGTTAGAGATCATAGTAATGCAAGTGTGTCACGTAATTTTGGAATCGATATAACACCTTTTAAGATAGAACAAAGCGTTGTCTCCAGTGTATTCTAGGGAACACTCGATTCCATTAAAGCACTTTAAACAGTTTTCTATGATCTGTTCGATATCGAAACAGTAATGGGCATAAACAGACCATTATTTGTAAGCATTTTTGTGTTTGCAGATCATTTTATGGTCTCATGGCCATTTCCTAGTAAAAGAGAGAGGAATATTCACTGAATAATAATTACCTCATTAATTATCTCAATACATCACTTTAATAACACTTCGGATTATCCTTTTTCACCAGTTACTTTGTCAGCTTAGTACTTATAAAATAAATACTTTTAAAATTGAATTGTAAGGAGCATAAAATTTTTGTTGTGCCTTGATGTATATAGATGTCAAACAGACCATAAAGCAACTGGTGAAAAGGTCAGCTAGGCCAACAAAGGCTGATACACTCCAAGGTTGGATGCCATATGGGCCCAAAAGGGCACCCCCACTTTCACTACAGCAGCTGTTGTGCATGCGCACATACTGCTTAAAAATGATAGAGGTAGGATAATTATAGACTAATTATGAATTTAGAAAACAGTCCTAAGAAAACATGCGCACTAATCGGTTACAAATTGTGTTTCTATAACTCGATGGAAACACAGAACTAGCACGAGCTGTTGACATATGGATGGCGCAGGCAAAGAGCATTTACACTTTGATAATCAAAGTTAACAAACTGTTGTCCATTTTTTTCGTCGCAGTGTTTTCTAAAAGAAATAGACATGTTCTCCGTGTTTATATCAAGTTATAGAAACACTCGTGAAAGTTTGGGAGGACTCGAAAAAGCTGAGGAAACACTCGCCTGCGGTTCATGTTCCCAAAGAATTTCTTGTTCTCCCAAACTTCCACTCATGTTTCTATAACTTGATAGAAACACGGTACATGTTTTATTTCTTAAACATTGTACATTTGATTATGTTAAATGCCACTGACAATATCAATAGTACTAATAGCTACTAGCTGCTCATCCTTTGTGCATAATTTATTTCTTTTGATATCCAGCTGGGTACCAAAAAAAAAACAAACAAACAAAAAACCAATGGTCTACTTTAAATTTTCAAACAACCCCGTAGTTAGGAAAACTGATCAGTTAGTTTTCATATGTTTACTATATGTATGTTATGCAGATCAGTATAGAATATAGGGTACCAGTATTAGAGTTTACATCATATTAATACATTTCTGATTTACTGGTATGTAAACTCTGCTTGCTTTTTCAGGGTATGCGTGGCATGTGGCTCTGGAGCATAACATTGTTTTCTTTCGCCTTGTTCCTAAGAGGGGAGGAACCACTCAGATTAAAAGTGAGGCATTTGAAATTGCCAGCCAACTTTGCAGGTATTACAGAAGGCTCAATGTTGAAAGTAATCTTTTCTGCAATGTGCAATGGCCATTTGTATCATTTTTTAATCTGCCAGAGAAAGCATTTAGCAGCAAAACTGTGAGTTTATGACATAGATTTTTAGCTTGAGAGTATTTCAGTTAGAAGTGCTCCTTGACAGGATTGTAATTTCAAGTTTCCAACATTGTTATAATTGGTTCTTTTCATTTCGCAGCTGATTCTGGTGAATTGCCAAAGAGAATTGACATAAAACTACCATGGTCAAAAGCAGACCGAAAAGCAAAAGCTGGATTATTTATTGGGTTTATACTTCACAAATTTAGTTATTGCAACATGGTGAACATGGAATATATTATGGTGAATACATGTACATGTATGTGTTTTTTTCCTTACTCTCCAAAGGCAAAATATGTGAGCCATATTAACTATATTTTAGAACATTAATCAATCCTGAATTGTAATAAAAAAAAGGCGCAGGACCACCATTTATTGCCAAGTTGATTTACAACTATAACCTATTCCAAAAAAATGTACTCCCTAACTTCTTTTCAACTTCCCATGCTTACACTTTTAAAATTTAGACTTCTCAAAACAGACTACAATCTTTTAATGGTACCATCTTTAGCAGTCATTAATTCAACTGAGAATATTTTGCAATCTTTTCATTTCAGGGGTGACACTCACTCTTTGGGCTAACCCATTGAACCCTGAGTTATGTCCCGTAACCGCTCTTCTTGTGTGGTTGTTGATAACAGGTTGGTGGATTATTTGTTAAGTTTAACCTTATTCGCAGTATTAAAAGTGGAACTAGAGTTCCTTTAACTGTGGTAAATGAGCTCTTTTCTCTCTACGTTCTGAAGATATTTTGAGCAGCATATCTTGGCATCTATTTAATTAATAGCTCTTGATTTTTTTTTGGGTCTCAAGCAGGTATTAGGAAAGGTTTCATTTTTTCCAAGGGTAGCTAAAAACAACCATGCAGTTCATGGGAACTCAGCTTGTGGTGTCACAACCTACAGGAAAACCTTTCTCCAGGTATATTATTTACTGTGACCAGGTTTTTGTATTGATTGAATATCATAGTGTCTAGAGTGAAATCCATGGTACTCAACTCGCTGTTGAGTTGTTTAATTTGGCACTTGATGCCCACCCATACAAAAATCATTATCCATTGTGTTTACATACCTGATAATTGGTTTGCCATTTATAGTTGTGAATCATTTTTACAAAAAGTTGTTCAATGATGTAAAATGTGCCATCTTTCTTTGATCATAAGAGCTGTACTGTTTCCGTAGTTTATTTTGTATTATTGATGGCTTTCCTAATTCTCCTTTAGATTTCCAAGACACTTTTTGAAAAGGATTTTACTACTCATAGCATAAGAAGATCAGCAGCCCAATGGGCTGCCCGCTGTGGAGCTGATGATAGCACCATCAAAAGGGCTGGCAGACAGTATGTGAGACAGTAATATATCAAACATGATAGACAGTGAAATCATCAAAATCTATGCTAATTAGGACTGGGTATCCAAACCTTCTTCATAACTGTGATTTTCTATGTTTTAACTTGATCAGGGTAGTACTAGTACAATGAGACAGACATCAGCAAAGTACTTTGTTCTTACATGTGTATAGTACAGGGGTATTCCTGTGATGTGTGATGTAGCAGCTGATTTTAGTTTCTGTGAAATGCAAATTTTAAGAAATTTTTCTTTGTGATCCATGACCTGAAGGATTTGTATGACCTGGAAAAAGGAAAGTATTTTATCCACAATTCTCTACTTTTAATTATCCGTTTGTGAACTGTGCCAGAGAACCCCTGTGTGACCGTCTTCTGATCTTTTCTAAAGAAGAGCAAAATAATGTTGCTTGTAGGATTGGCAATAACTACAAAAAAAACAAACTTGCAAACTCAAGACAGTTTTGCCACCAACTGGGGGTTGAAGCACTCTTGATATCTTTGTGTTCATTCTCAATCCATAAATTGTTTTAAAAGGGGAATTATTCTTGTCACGTTTTTGTTGAAAATGTGAAAACTTGTTAATAATTTATAAAGGCTCTTTAAAGCACTTTAGAATGAGAGTTAGCAATGTAAAAAGTGAACGACGTTACCATGACTCCATGTCATCATTATCAAGTTCGAAACACATGATGGAATTGAGTAAATATAAATAGTAAAAATAGTGTGATAATAGTTGGGGAATTAAATGGGTGTTAAAGTATTCAATTGTAATGTCAAGAGTTTGGCATGACCTGAATCTGACTGTGTGTTAAGTTTTGGTTTTATGTTCCTAATGAACAGCATCTGTTAGATCAAGCAGTCAAATTTTGTGCATCATTTCTTTAACACTTTAAATGTTGTAAGTATTTTGAACTTGATAATGATGACATGGAGTCATCGGAATGTCATTCACGTTTTACATTGCTAATTTTCATTCTAAATTATTTCTTAACTTATTTTGTATTTGATCAGGAAGTCCAATAGTTTTGAGTTGTACACTCAAGATGCTAGGGCTGAACTAATCAAAGAACAGCATGATGGGACCCCAGCATTGGACCACCAACTCTGGATGTTTAAACCTCTTAGATAATAAATTAGTATAATCCAGAGACCATTCATTCACAACTAAATGTTCATTGAAAGTGTTCATTATTTATTGTTTTGGTTTTGATTTCTGTAATTTTACCTGAGTGCATGTGCCTTGGGGGCACTCTATCAAAAATTCAACCTGCCTTGCAATGCCAATTGGATTATAAGTTTGCCTTACAGTCTGTCACTGGATTATACTAATTAAGGTTATATTCCTTTTTGTCCAACACCATTTGGTTGAACTGCGAAGAAATAGATATCTCAAACTGAAGAACTAGCAAGAAATTTCAATGATAGATAAATTTAATACGTTTTGTAGGCAGGAAATGAAAAAAGTCATTTTCATTTTTAGGACATAGCTTGTTGACATTATTAACTCAAATGTTTTGATATTTCAACCAATGAAATCAACTGTTTGGTCTTTGACAGTGATGTATCTCTGGATGACATTAGTGGCCATTTGATTCAGAAAACTTGTTTAGGAGTAAGTGGACAGAGGACATATCGGAAAAGTAATTCAGGCTGTTGGAGTCTCAAAACACTTTTGTGGCAATAATGGAATGTAACAGTCAAAGCTGTTTTAAGTATGTTTTTGTCATAATGTACAGTTCTCATGTTTTATTAGTGCCTTAAGAAATAGCAACAGAAAGATTCCATGATTAATTACCCAGGACAACTATTACTAATTTAAGGTGGCTCAAAACAGTTTCCAGCACTTTGTGATGGATCATTTTTACCAATCTTTATCAACTGATGCTACAATCACAGTAACACAAAACTGCCCATTCATTGGTGAACATGTTACAATCATTTTCATGTAACAATAGGTTACCAAGGTTGCCTAAAACCCTATGTACAGTATTTTTTAAAACTTTTACAAAAGCTGCATCTTATCCTGCTATTCAAAATTTGACAATATAAAAATATTTCACCACGCAGTTTTTGAATTATATGCCCTTAAAGCTAAAATTAAGGTTGCTTTTAGCAGGTTATACATTTGCAATAGTAATCTGTTGTGTCACGAAAATAATTACGTGTTTACCGATGATGAGGCAGTTTTTTGTTACCACGATTGTAGCATCAATTGATAAAAAACGGTTATAATGACCCATCAAAATTTAAGTCTTCGAAAGTGCTGGAAACTGTTTTGAGCCACCTTTAACTCTAATTTCTTCTACAAATGATATGTATTCCTGTAGAGAAACCTAAATCACATTAATTGAAAAACTTTTAATTATTGAGGTTGGATGCTTTTGAATTAAATAAAATCCTGATAACTTTTATCCAACATAACATTTTCTTACAAATACTTTACCACTAGGCAGTTGAGATCTTGATGAAAATTAATAAGAAGCTATAATTGTATAATATATGAGTATAATTTATGACCATCACATGTCAATGTTTTGAGGGATCATACAAGAAATTTATTCTATTTTAGACAAAATTCAAGTGGTGTATTTTTTTTTAACAATCAAATGTACATAATTCAGTGTAAAGTTATAAAATGAATACCAAGATCAGTATATCGATATTATAGGGTTAATGCTGTTGTTCCAGCACATATGCAATAAAGTTTCAATCTCTGGTTTTACATCTGAACATTTGCCGTGTTTTGCTATTACATTTATTTCCTAATACAGTCAAAGCTCTTCTTGCAGCCTTTCTTGTAAGTGGCCTTCTCTAGCATTTGAAAATGATTGCTAATCCCCTAAGCAGCCAACTTGTAATTTGGGAATCCCTTTTGTATTCAAAATTTAAATTTTCTTGTAAACAGCAACGTTAAAATTAGAGCGGTTTTCAATTGAGTGTCGTAAAACCAAAACCAAAACCAATTACTTACCAATTAGACTTCTCAGTTAATCTCAAACTGTAGTAAAACCAAAACCAAAACCAAAGTAATTGGCTAATTACTTTCGACACTCAACTGAAAACCGCTCTAGTTTCCTAGTTGTAAATATAAAAACTTTTGATTCAGGGTTGGTGTAATATGGGTCTTATGCCACATGCCTGCATGGGTGAATACAGCAAATAAATTGACCATACCCGTAGCACAGAAAAACCCTATATACATGTATAAATTAGGAAAGATAAACCAAACAGTAACACAACGAGGAACTCTAAATGTATATGACTGCGTAAATAAGGGTACATATATTTCCTCTCATGCTCCTGAAGCCAGCGAAATTCAACTTGACTGGACCTCTGTAATAGTTAAGCTGTCAACAGCTCAGGGGAATTGAGTAAAGCAACAATTTTGAATATTCAGAAACCAATTATTACCATTGTTCCTTTCGTTTGCTTATCCCTTCCCATTGAAGTTTGCAAGTTAATTTAGTTTTGCAGCTTTTCTTGGCCGTAATTGCATTCGTGGTTGTGGTGTTGGTGGTGTTTCGCTGTCCCTTGCGGGTAGCCCTTCACTTTCTGGTTCCTGATCCAAATGCCATTGCAGGGGATCAGGAACCGGAAAGTGGAGGGCTACCCTGATCCTCTGCCATGGCATTTGGATCGTCGTCATCTTCTCCTGTGTTAGAAGCGTGAATGTCTTCATAAGACAAC